GCATAATAAAAAAATAAAATAGATAAAAAAACTAAAAATTAAAAACATTTCAAAATAAATTTAAAAAAAGGATGGTCCTTTGTGGAGTTTATAAAATTATATACTATCTGAAAGATTTTAGCTGTTGTGAGAGCAGCATTAAAAACCTCTAAGGAACAGTATACATTGAAAAAAAAATCACCCAATCAATACTATTAAAAGGTAAAATAAAACTATAAAATCCTTATTTAAAAAATATGGAACAAAGTAGAATCCAGAATTAATTTGAAGGTGAAAAAAAATAAAATAAAATTTTATCTTATTCCCCGCCACCCCCCGCCCCAGTTTAAAGAGTTAAATGCCAGGGACATCTACTTATAAAGAACAAAAGTTTTTTTCTAGGTATATTTATGAACCCTAATTCAGATACAGAAGAACTAAAAAATCAGTAAATAGCACCAACCTCTAACACCAAAGTACAAAATGCTAACTTAAATAGCCATTATAATACTGAATAGGTAAGTTTAACGGTTTCAATAAAGTCACTAAATTCTTTCCAATTCTCAAGATCATCTTGATACAGAAAAACTTAGCAAAACTGTTTATAGAAATAAACAAAACCATTGTACATATTTTTAATTGGTTAAAATTTTAAATATTTATTGTAGCTTACTTTTCAAAGTTATAATGTGGCAACCAGTGAGACATGGCTTTACCATTTGTAACTGTTAACACCATTCTTTCCAAACAATTCACAAGTTGGTATTTTTTCCTACTTACAATTCTTAAAAAAAATTCAAGTAGAAAACACAAAAATGATAATATTTATAGTATTTAGTAGAATATGTCAATGGTTTTCCCCCTCCTGTTTTCCTATTTCCACATTTTGCTGCAATGGTTATTTTACAGGGAAAATCAAATTTCTTTACTAAATATTGTTTAAATTTGTAAACATTTTAAAGTTACATCCCAAGACAATGCTTTAAAATATTTGATTATTTTATATAAAACTTCAAAATGCTTGTATATTTAACTTTTTATTTAGACTTGGAAGTATTTGCTATTTATAATAATAATGGCAATCAAAATTCTGCTTCCATGGAAAAGATTCAATAGATTAAAGGATAATTCTAACACCATGTCTAGAAGAGCAGAAATTCTCCTCTCTACTCCTTCTCCCAAAAAGCACCTAACTTTATAGCCACAGCAACAAAAAAAACTTAACAGCAGTGTTTCCCAAATACTAGTCCACAGCCCAGCATAGGCCAGTGGGATTCTGATGAACTTTTTTAAGTTCTATATTTCTGAAAGCCATTCCTAATCAAAACAACTAGATTTTCTGGAAAAATATGATTTGGATGCACAGAATTCAGATAATATTCATCCTTTTGGCTCTAATTCAAAACTTCAGGACTTGACTAGGTTTTTGCCATGCTTACCTTCTTGGTTGATAGCTGAATTAAATGAGGGCTGTGGCACAGCTCTATGTGATGATTTCTGAGGAGTGAGCGCTCTCACTGGAGGGGGTCCTCCGGTTGGAGGTGGCCCAATAGGAGCTCCTGGTTGAAAAGTGGTAGGCAGAGGCGGATTCACTAAGGGGGGTGCAGAACCTATGGAAACATTGGTTTTTCATGTGTCACTTAAGAACTTAAGGCAAAAGCCAAAACATCCTTTTAATAAATTTGAGTAACTTCCAAATTTACATTTTAATTATATTCACCAATAAATTACCAGAAATGTTAATTCTGCAGATTTATGACTTTTTAATTTATATGCATACTTTACACATTTCCAAGTCTCTCCTACCATGCTTCCCGTCAATTACTAAAGCAGTGTAAGTATGAAATCAGGATCAAGTCATTTATAGAGTGAATATAATACCCTGTTTATTAATTTTCATTAACTGATCAGTTTCAACAGGCCATGTCAAATTCTGGTTGAATTTAACATGATTAAAATTTTATTAATGGTCTATTATCCATTCAATTACCATCAATTAGGTTTAAAGTTAGCTTATTAAAACTACAAAGTATTGTGATTACTCTAAATTTTCCAAGTTTTATTTCATTTTGCTTCATTTTTATTGGGAGTATAACCAGTTGAAAATGAGACTGTAAATTTGTACAATGTTCACTAACCTAGTAACAAAAGTAGTTTACTTTCAATAATGTGTAAATACTATACTAAAGACAATCCCTAAGATTAAAAACCAGGAAATAATCCAAAGTTTATGTATATACTTTATAAAACACTGCTATTCAAGAGGTCTTACTCTTGGAGAAATTCTCCTATATGATATCAAAAGTTCCAAAACCCACAACCACCAGTTAGTTCATTCAAGTCACCAATATTGTTCCAATCTTCTCATTTGCTAAAGAAGAGAAACCAAGTTTACAAAGTAGATAAAATACTACTGGTAAGTATATGATTTAAATTTTCATTGGACGCTTCTTTTATCCTCTGAATTTGTAAATGAAAGAGGTAATAAATGTTACTTATAGTACATTCTACAGTTAACCTTGTATTCTGTAAACTAATACAAATATGAAAACTTTCAATATGCTTCTTCAATAGTGCCCAATTCTCCAGGACCAAATTGAAAAATTACTGTATTACTAACCCTTATAGCTCCTAATAAGACTAACCAGTGCCCTGTTGACAAAACTGAAGACAAAGATTACAACCACGTAACTCCCTTATCGAAGAAGCACCCACACGTATCTTTGGCAATACAGACAAGTCAAAGGTACTAAAGGGCAAGGTACATTACCAACTCAGCATGAATAAAGATGTATGACACATCTGGCCACAAGGATGTAACAACTTAATGTTTAACACAATACAATTGAGGTTATAGAGATTTTTCCACAGCTTTAAGAAAAATATTTTTGAACCCAGAAAATTTCATAACATAGACATTATTTTTTCAAGCTACATGATTCTTACTTATAATACTAATAACTAGAGTTTCAAAATCTGCCTTCTAAGATCCCTAAAGCTAATATAAGGATGCTAAAAGGTGGCGTATTCGGAAAAAAAAAAAAGGAGAATTTTAATGTGGACTAGAAACTTCATGTAACGTACAGTTTGAGATCAGACAATCAGGCACCTACTATCAATTATGGTTGAAAAAACAGAGGTAGAAAATGAGAAAAAATTTTTAGAGGTCTCATAAGACAAAAGAAGGGTAGTCATACATTTATCTTAGGTTCATTTTATTAGTTTATGTATCTTTCTTGCTCCTTTTATATGGACACTTTCATAAGTTTCGGCACTTGGCTTATGTCCCTTTCACATCTATGCTGCAGTCGAGGTGCTCTACCTGAAGTCTTCTGTTATAGCCAAAAATATTTCAGATTATTGATCATGTGCTGTTAAACAAGAAGCTACATCTACTCAATTATATTTTGTGGCTTTGGGTAAATTATTCAAGCCTCAGATTTCTTGTAAAAGAGACTGTTATGAAGATTAAATAAGATAACACATACAAAAGTTTGGTAAAGTGCTAGAAAATAATAAATATTCGATAAATGTTACCTATAATTATTAATAAAGTGAAATTAATAGTCATTCATTTCAAGTGACTGATGCTCACTCATGGTGTCAAATTAATACGAAAAAAAGTAATCAGAAGAATTTTGGTTCTAAAATGGTGGGTCAGAAGATTTCTACAAAGAAATTTTTTAGAAGTAGCCTTAATCTGTACAAGGCCAAAATGCATTCATCAGGGCCAGTGGCTGATCAAGAAGCTAAGAAAAATAAGCAGTTTCAACAGTTAAAAAACTACAAGCCTGATGAAGTGTTTATAGATGCAGACATACATGAGTATAAAAAGGTAACTACTGATATTACTATTTCACTTGATTTTACTAGTTCATTTCTTTGAGGATGTCTGTTGAGCAGAATTAATCTGCAGATCCAAATATAGGATTTTAAATGCTTTTTAAAGTAACACTATTAATGTTGGTAAGTGTATAAGACTAATTTTAATAGCAAAAAAAAGGATAGTGAAATGAGTAAATGAACCTACTTTTGAACCAGATATAACCAAACCCTAAGTTTAAAAATAAAAAGATTGAAGTCAGTCTAATAATATATAGATTTCTTTCCAAACTGCTATATGGTTTCAACATAATCCCTTATCAAAATTCCAGCTATCTTTTTTTTACAAAAATTGACAAGTTGATTATAAAATTTTTATGGAAATGCAAGGGACCCAGAACATCTAAAACAATCTTTAAAAAAGAAAAACAAAGTTGGTAGCACATTTCCCAAATTCAAAGCTCACTACAAAGCTACAGTAATCAAAATGTTCTGTACGAGTATAAAGATACACTTATAGATTCTGAACAGACAGTTCTCCAAAGAGTAAATACAGATAGCTAATAGATGTATGAAAAGATGCTCAAGGTCACTAATCATCAGAGAAATGCAGGTTAAAACTACAATGAGCTATCACCTTGCATCTGTCAAAATGGCTACCATTAATAAATCAAAGAACAAATGTTGGCAAGGATGTAGAGAAAAAGGAACTCTTATACACTGTCAGTAAGATTGCAAATTGCTACAGCCACTATGGAAAACAGTCTGGAGGTTTCTCAAAAAATTAAAAATAGATATACCTTTTGACCCAGCAACTGCACTTCTGGGTATTTATCCACAGAAAACCAAAACAATAATTTGTAAAGATCTATGCACCCCTATGTTCATAGCGGCACAATTTACAATAGCTAAGATATGAAAGCAACCAAAATGTCCGGCAACAGATGACTGGAAAAAGAAATTATGGTTCATATAGATAATGGAATATTATTCAGCCATTAAAAAATGAAATCCTACCACTTGCTATGACATGGATGGACCTAGAGGTTATTATGCTGAGTGAAATTAAGTCAAAGATAAATACCATGATTTCACTTACATGTGGAATCTAAGGAACAAAAATAACAAACTAATCAAAAACAGACTCATAAAAATAGAGGTTAATCTGGTGACAGCCAGAAGGGAGGGGGGTTAGGGGGCTGAGAGAATGGGGTGAAGGGTTAAAGTACAAATTAGTGGTTGATAGATGGTCATGGGGATGGGGAGCACGGCATAGCAAATGCAGTTAACATTAATGTAAAGGCTAGGTGGAGAGCCAGAGGAGAGAAAGCAATTAGGGGGATTGTTTCATAAACTATATAAATGTCTAAACAATGTACTGTATACTTGAAATAATAAATTTTTTTAATTAAAAAAAGAGATACACATATAAATCAATAAAATAGAATTCAGAGTCCAGAAATAAACCCTTACATTTATAATCAATTGATTTTCAACAAGGGTGCCAAGATAATTTAATGGGAGAAAGAATAGTCTTTCTTTCACAGTCCTGAGACAACTGTATGTCCACATGCACAAGAATAAAGTAGAACCCCTAACACCATATACAAAAATTAACTCAAAATTCATCAAAGACCTAAATGTAGAGCTGAAACTATAAAACTCTTAGAAAAAAACATATATATAAATCTCTGTCCACTGCTTTCTGACTACAATTGTGTTCAGTACCATTCCTCACTCCGAAAGTATTATCTGTTTTGACTTCCAGGATCCTACAGTTTCTAAGGCCAAAAACTGTCTAAGCCATGACAAAAAGATAATCTCGGAGCAAGACCAAAGAGAGACCACAGGGATTGAGCTTCCCTAGAATACAAGATGCAATCAGTTAATAAAAATAATGGCCAATATTTAAGGAAATGGTTCTGCGTACATACCTGATTCCCTGAAATATAATGAGTAACTCAGAGAAACACAGAGGATATCTTCAGAAGAAAGAAGTAAAGCAGGAACAACCTATGATTTTAAGTTAACTCAAAGGTTAGAGGATTAATTTATTTAGAGATTAAAAATGATTTTAAAAATTAATAGTGTTCTATATGGTTTTAAGGCTTGAAATATTAATTCAAGCATCTAAACAAGCAAAAGTTTCCAATTTCTATATTTTTGAGCTCTCCTAAAAGAACTCTACCTGGTTTTATGAAGTTGTTTTGAAGTGAAGGATCTCCAGAAGAAACATATTGATGAGTTGTTGTCAAAGTTGTATGCCCGGACATACTTGGTCCAGATGATGCACGAGGATAATGGTTTGTCTGTGATCCTGCAGATGGATAGTTATGTTGCCAATTCAAAGGTGGTGGTGCATTGGCTCCAGGAAGAAAGCTACCAGAAGGCATTGATGTAGCAGCTGGGTTCTGAGAAGTAGATTGTGGCATTCGGGGAACAGGACCACTATGAAGTGAAGGTGTCACTGGATTAGAAGCCACAGGTGGTCTATAAAGAGTCTGCCCAGGTCCCTGATAATTACTTAATGGAGATACAGTCTGAGAACCACTGCAGGTAGACTGTCCAGAGACTGGATTCAAAGTTTTTGCCGGTATTAGATGAGGGTAGGATCCTGGTAGCTGAGAATTGTATCCTTGGCTCACTGACACTTGTGAAGACATCAGTACATTTTGGATAGGACCTTTCAATAAGAGGAGGAAAAATTAGTCTTGCAAACAAATAAAGCAATAGTTTTAAAAATACAGCGAAACATGGTATTCTTACAACTCAACAACAAAAACACAACCCAATCTAAAAATGAGCAAAGGATTAAATAGACATTCAAATGTATTTCCAAAGAGATATGTAAATGGCCAGTAAATACATGCAAAAATGCTCAACATTATTAGTTATTAGAGAAAAGCAAATCAAAACCACAATGATTTATGACCCACTCCAACGAGGCTAAAATGAAAAAGATGGAAAACAACAAGTGCTGACAAGAATGTGGAGAAACTGGAACCCTCATGCATTGCTAGTGGAAATGCATAACGGTACGACTACATTGGAAAACAAGTCTGGCAGTTCCTCAAAATGTTAAACATAGTTATCATATAATCCAACAATTCCACTTACTCTCCATAAAAACTTGTACATGAATATCATAACATCATTGTTCATAATAGCAAAAAGTGGAAACAACCTAAACGTCCATCAAATGATGAATAAACAAGAGAAGTAAATCCAGACAATGGAAATTTTTTTGCTTTTTGTTTTTGTTTTTTTTTGTTATTTTGATTTTTTGGGATACTGGAATATTATTTGGTCATAACAAGGAATGAAGTACTGATGACATGCTACAATATAAATAAACCTTGAAAATATTATGCTAAGTAAAGATAAAGTCACAAAGGGCCATACATTATATAATCCATTTATATGGAAAGTATAGAAGAGGAAAATCCACACAGAGGTAGATTTGTGGTTGCAGTGGTTAGGAGGAAGAGGGAATGGGGAGTGACTGCTAATGGGTATAATGTTTCTTTTTGGGATGATAAAAATATTCTAAAATTGATTGTAGTGATGGTTCCCTAACTGCGAATACACTAAAAACCACTGAATTGAACACTTTAAAGCTGTTATTTAAAAAACAATCATTAGAATCACCACTTCTACTCAGGAATATACTATCATTTCTGTCCATAAAATTAGACAAAAAAGGAAATAAGATGAATCTTTTTAAAATAGATGGTACTCATACAAACTTAATTTCTTTGGACTTTTTACATTTAAAAGATATAAAAAGAAAATATCTTCCCTTCATATCTCCTCAATCCATGTAACCAATGTACAAATGTCATCAGAATAATTTGAATCTTTCATAATTTCTACAATGCTTATACAAACATACATAAGCATATGTATATAGGTAAATTAGGAGGCCTACAAAAGCATATATAGCTATATAGTATGGAGTTGGGGGGAGGGAGTTGTCTATATACATAGGCTCTACGAAACAAAAAATACGGGTACCTTCCAGGAGAAAAGAAATAGATCTAAATGTGTTAGCTACAGCATTGTTTATAATAATGAAAAACTGGAAACAAATTTTTTTTATTGAGGTATCCATCAACAGATTAAATTATAGATTAGTCACACAATAGACTATCAATAAAATGAACAGATGTACACCTACCAACAGGGATAAATTACAAAAAGAATAAAGAGAAAAAAGGAAGTTAGATAAGTATGATACCTTTCTTATAAAACTTTTTATCATGAAAAATTTCAGACTCAAAAATAAGACTGCTTTATGTAGTCTCCCACAAAAAACTGAAATGTTGAATGGAATTACATTTGATTATATATTTTGGATTGTTGACATTTTTATGATGGAAAAATTTTCTATTTAGAAACATGATCTATCCCTCCATGTATTTAAAATTTATTTTATGTCTTCCAATTATATTTCGTGCTTTTTTCATAAAGATGTCTTATACTTGATTTAAATTAAATTGTGCTGATTTATTGCTTTGTATTTTGTAGCTTGTAAATACTAAAGGAAAAGCTATTGATTATTCAAAGTACCATAAATACAACTATTAGGAGAGATTTTCTTCAAAAAGAACTTCTCAAAAAAGAAGTCATATATAAGTCCACAAAGTCATATATAAGAACCACAAAGGTTCTTCTTGTACAAGAATGCTTTGTCATAGGGGATTAATACTATTTTTCAAACAGTAGATAACAATCCAATAATGGGTTATAAAATTAATGTCTTACAAACTATCTTTTGTGTAATGAAATAGAAGATAGTTAATGAAAATATCACAGCACATTACATGTAATAAAGGCAAATATTGTGTAGTGTTATTTATAAATAGACATGAATATAGGAAACCCTTCAAAATGTCTTATTATAGATTATGAAGTCTGAAAGCCACTTGACCAACTGATACCTTTGAGTTTTCCCTTATCTCTCATTTATTCCTCACACATCCCTTTTAACTTTTACAATACCTCTATGATTTATTCCCTATACATCCCTTTTACCTTTCACACAGTATCTTTTAAAACATAGATCATATCAACTCCCCTCGAAAATTCCAAAGTCCTTATTTTGTTTATAGGAGCCTCTCTGTCCCTGGCTTCCTTCTTGTCTCATTTCCTACTTTCTTTCTTTCTTTTTAAAAACTATTTGACATTCATTTTATTTTAATAAAACAGTGCCAAGACAATACTTATGTTCTTTCTGATCTGGAAGTAAGTATACTGTATTCTTCTGATTCTATTTGTTTTTTGCTTGCTCTCCAGGCATATTTTAGAATAAAGTTCAATTTTTCTGTAAGGTTTGGTTAAACAGAGTATGTCAACTCAGACAAGTGGTCATTTTGAACCACATATTCACTCAATTTGTCTTTATTATATTAATCAAGCATGGTTCTTATCTTTTAGGCCCCTCCAGTCCTAATTTGATTATATTACTAATTAATAATATTTGTTCATCTGTATCGTCCAAGGAGTCTTTTTAACTGATATCTCTAACTCTGAAGAGGTGGCTATGCACCCTGTACTTAAGCCAACTTGGAAAAGATTTGCAGTTCCAAACAAACACACGTCTTTACAATTCTATCTTGTAACAGTTTATCACACAAAAATGGCTTAATAAATAATTTCCACTAGTGACTTAAAGCCCCTTTTAAATATGTATTATAGAATCCCTCTTGAGTTTAGTAAACACCTATGGTAAGGTCACTATGTCAACTGACATCAGTTACTCCATTTCATAGCCAAAACCCTTTACTAGCAGGCTATTCAAAGAATTGTCTACTCCCCTTCCTCTCTACTCGGCTCCAGCCACACTCACCTTCTTAATATTCCTTCAACAAGCTTAAATATACCTTCACCATAAGGTTCCTCACTTTTTACTCTGCCAAGAACACTCACTCTTTCATGCATCTCCCATTCCGCTCCATTCAGGTCTCTTTCAGGTCTAATCTCCTCAAAAAGGCATGGCCTTAAAGCCATTTTTAAAATACCACCTCTTTCATTCTCTTTCCTTCTGACCCTGCCTTATTTTTCTTTCTAGTGTTTACCTGACACTTATTTATTTATAGTGTGTCTACCTCACTTATAACATAAGCTCCATGAAGGTAGGGACTTTTTGTTCTTTACCATAGTCTCAACACCTAAAATGTACATATCACATAGCTGATACTTAATGTTTGTTGAATGAATCAAATATATATCATAGCACAGTCTCTCATTTTGAACAAAAGAGTACTATCTGGGGAAAAGTGAGAATCAACTTTAATAAAGTCTAGTTTCAATTGCTTTAGTGATCACCTGATGAGATCCCTTAAAATTATTCCACAATATGGAACTATAATGTTGAATATTTAGGAAAAATTTAGTCCTAAAGACATTAGGTAGGGTAAGCATCTATATACCTGGGGGAAGTTGGAGCAGAGTGAGGGGGCAGCACCAGCAATGAGAGAATGGTTACATATAGGGAAACTGATCAAACAAAATGAACCTAGAAGTGGTGGGCCTACATTGGGGTTATAATTGAAACTCATGGATTTCAATATATATGTAGATCCTCTAGCTCCATCTGCTGAGACTGGGAGCAGAGACATTCTAATAGCACTGATCACATCTAGTACTGAAATTTTGGTTTCTAAATACTATTCTCCACTGAAAGGATCACGGATGATTCCTGAGTTTGGAAGTACAAGATGAGCCTGCAACACCTTATTGTGCCAGAAAGCAAGAAACTGCCCAAGAATAATAAGACATGACAAGAGAACAAAGAAGACAGCTAGAAGCTCACAGGCCAAATCTGAGACATAAACATCAAAATAAATAATGATAACAGATTATAACCCACTGAAAAAATAGTCCACACCAATATAAATGAATTAATTAAAAGACTAACAAGAAATGAGATATTTACATAGTCTCAAAGTACATCCCTATAAAATACTAATTACAAAAGGAAAAAAGGAGCAATTTTACTGTAGAGAAGCTTAGCAGACACCCTCTTAATCAAGTGATTAAAGTGAGCATCATCAATTGGACGTGGTTCCATAGTGTAGCGGTTAGCACATCTGCTTTACACCTCCTGGGTTCATACCCCAGTGGAGCCACGGTCCACGGTCTACGGCCATGCTACCTTGAACAAGCCCAATGTCTGATCTCGGAAGCTAAGCAGGGTCGAGCCTGGTTAGTACTTGGATGGGAGACCACCTAGGAAGACCAGGTGCTGTGTAGGAATAAATAATAATAATAATAATAATAAATAAAGTGAACATCAATAACGGAAAAAAAAGAAATTATGTGCCACCTGATAGGATGTAATTAGAGCATCTGTTCCGTAACAATCCTGCTATCGTGCATAATCTGAGTCTAACCATGATGAAATATCAGACAAGCCAAACTGAGAAATATCTACAAAATGACTGGCTTGTAATTTTCAAAAGCACTTGGGTAATGAAAGTCAAGGAAAGACTGAGGAACCGTTCCAGATTGAAAGGCACTAAAGAGGCATAACAATTAAATGCTACGTGTAATTCTAGACTGGATTTCTTTTTTTTTTTTTTTTTTTTTTTTTTTGCTATAAAAAGGTTTATTAGGACAACTGGTGAAACTTGAATGGGGTCTGAGGATTAGATGATAGTAATGTTGATTTTCTAATTTTGA